GATTAAAACCATGCAGTGGGCTAACTTTGCACTGCTAAGCTTCATGCCAGTTGAGGTCTTGCCTGTCCTCAACAGCTAGAAACTGCTCCTGCAGCTCATCCCGTTGGATTCTCCGGCTGTGCCCCGCGCTGGGGCAGGGGGTGGTGGCCCTGCAGCCCCTTGGCTGTTCTCACTGGCAAAGAGGCAAAGCTGAGGAGCTGCAGAACCTGCCCCTTGGGGACAGCGAGCCCAGGGTTATGGATATTAGGCCCATCCGTGTCCTGTGCCTCCGAGGCAGCTGTGTGCCCTGTTTGCCCCCTGTCCTCTTTCTTGGCACTGGCGGTGGCAGGAAGGGTCCAGCCAGCAGAGTAGATGTGCCCTGAGGCTATTCTTGTGTAGAGCAAAGCCAAAGCTTGCACGGAAACCTGAAACCCAGTGAGACTTGGATTAGCAACCCGAAACTCAGGCCAGGATACAAGCCTTTTGGAAGAGCTTGGCAGAGGTTCAGGCAAGCTCGGGCTGAGTTTCAAGTCAGCTAAGGCTGACCTTTGAGTGAGCCCGCTGCTGGCTGCTCGGGAAGCATGGGCCTGAATTTTAAGAGAGCCTGGGGAGTGAGTTTTGGGAAAAAAAAACCCCACAAAACAGTTAAAGGGTTTAGGCAAAAACAATGCAGACTTCTCGTGGTTTGGGGGTGATAATTCCTAGCCACTCACCTGCCCCCAAACCAGCAAAACCAGACTGGTGGTTACAGCTTCATTGCACTCTGAGTTTCAATGCAGACTTAACCCCTTCCTCAGCATAGAGTAACTGTTCCTTCCAGGCTTTCTCTGGGGTAGATCTAAATTCCCTGTTTGCTCTCTCCCCATCACAAGGAAGGTCTCATGGCTGTCCGCGGTGCAAGGTTGAAGCTGTGCCTGAGCAGCTCAGCATTCCCTACTCTTGGACATGAAGGACTGAACTATCTATATGGCAGTTTGTACCTCGCAGGAATTTATGGAAGGGGAGAAATGAATCAGATCAGGAGGGAGATCACAAGATGCAAAGGCTAGTGCTGTGAGAGCAGAAGACCAACAGCCAGGGATCCAGGGCAGACAAGGCCATGCTATATCAGTGACCGAGGCTGAAGGATGATGACCAAGCCAAAGCGGAAGAAGGCATGAGAAAATGGCCACAAATAGAGCTGTCTGTCCCACGCAGTGGGAAGCAGCAAGGGCCAATGTAGTCTTGCTCCTGAAGCTGTGGACGTGTTTCTCTTCCCATTATGTTTTTTTTTTTCCCATTGCTTTTCCTGTAAACTCATCACTCTCTTCCTCCCCTAGCACACAGCATGTGATGGGTCTAGATGAGGGCAAGGAGGACCTGTTTGTAATCAGACCCACATTTCTCTGCATTGTCTGTGTTGTCTCTGCAGTGAATTCAGCCAAAACCCCCATACTTGTGACATTTTAGTGCTGATTTTAAAAGCTCTGTGAAGGCAGAATTTTCCCAAATGGAGTTTCCTGCATAGGAAATTGTTTATCTTAGAGTATTATTCTATAGCTCTGATAGCTCCTTTCCCCGCTGCCAGTCTGTTGAAGTCCCTTTATGCTGGGAGTGACGAATGAGGAGCCTGAAGCCACAGAAGGGGTCTCTATGCCAAAGGAAGTGCCCCTCCGTGGCCTTCCCAGTTTTCTTGCCTAGCTCCCTTTTCCATGCCCTTGATTCTGGCTCTTTCTATGTTGTCAGGCAGAGAGGGGCCTCATCTGCTGCTTTATTTCAGGCCCTTCTCTAATTACACGTTGACATTAGTTATTTATATAATGTCCTTAATACCACAGCGTCAATACTGGAGGTGCTGGGAGGTGGTGGGGAGGCCTGTGCCCGCCTGCCCATGGCTTGGCAGGTGGTATCCGCTGGTCACACTGGTCCGGAGGTGCTGGAGCTGCCCTGCAGCATCCCAGCATCTGGTGTTGGAGCAGCCCTGCAGCATCCCAGCATCTGGCGTCAGCTCCTCTGGAGACAGCTCTAGAGAGCTGGAGCCAGGTATCCCGGAGAGGCGCAGGGTCACGCACCACATGCCAGAAGGTAATCGGAGACGGTCCGTCCGGGCTGAAACTGCTGGATGTCCTTTGCAGGCGGCACAGTGTCCCCTCTGCAGCCTGCGTGGCTCGGGTCGGCGTGTCTTGCCCTTGAAGTCCACGCTGCGCTTTTACGGCCCCGTGGAGGAAGGCAGGGAAGTGCCAGCAGATGCGTAATTTCCCCAAGGACGGTGTGTGGGCTTTACCCCGGACAGCTAAATAAATACTTGGATGTCTCCTGAGCCGAGACTTGTTTGTGTCTCTGAGGCCGGGGTGGAACGCGTGGTGGGGTGTGTGCAGTTCCTGTTGGGTTTGGTGCGCGGCTGCTCCAGCGCTGGTTTTAAATGTGAGGCAGGGAAGTGCCAGCAGATGCGTAATTTCCCCAAGGACGGTGTGTGGGCTTTACCCCGGACAGCTAAATAAATACTTGGATGTCTCCTGAGCCGAGACTTGTTTGTGTCTCTGAGGCCGGGGTGGAACGCGTGGTGGGGTGTGTGCAGTTCCTGTTGGGTTTGGTGCGCGGCTGCTCCAGCGCTGGTTTTAAATGTGACACATCGCTGCCTCCGTCTCTTTTATGTTCTCTGCTGCGGTTTGCGAGGCAGAGTTTAAAGGTTTCTCTGACTAACCCCGGCTGCTGGACTCAAAGGGAAGGAAGTCGACTGCAGCCAAGAAAAGGAAGCCAGTTGGTTTCCCTTCTGCGTCTGCGAGCGCGTGTGAAGGGGAGAGAGAGAAGGGTGTAGCCAGATCAGAAACGAGATAGGCTGGGAAGACAGCAGGCCTCTTTCCTTCCATGTTTTCTCGGCTCGACAAGCTCCCTGCATGCGTCAGCCCGGAGCATGGAGAAAGGAAGCGTGTCCTGGTCAATATTTACCCGGCGGCGTGGGGCAACACGCGTTGGCTCCAGCTGCCGGTGGTCTGCACGCTTCTGGCTCGCTCCCTGGAAATGCAATGTGTGGAGGCGGCGCCGACG